CCACTTATCTAGTGTCCTAGTTATCTAGTGCTGCTATAACAGAAGTACCACAAGTGGATAGCTTCAACAAAGAAAATTTTTTTTTTTATTTCACAGTCTAGTAGGTTACAAGTCCAAATTCAGGGCATCAGCTCCAAGAGAAGGCTTTCTCTGCTGGCTCTGGAGGAAAGTCCTTCTTATAAGTTGTTTTCTCCTATTCTGGGAGCATCTCAGCACAGTGATCTCCAGCTCAAAAGATGCACTCTGCTCCCACCACTGCCTTCTTGGTGGTATTAGGTTCCCAAGTCTCTCTGCCTGTTTGTTTCTTTTATATCTCAAAAGAGAATGGCTTAAGACACTAACTAAGCTTGTAGATTTCATCAATATAACTGCCACTCATCCATCTTACTACATCGTAGTGATAGAAATACAACACAAAGGGAAATCACATTAGATGACAAAATGGTAGACAATCATAAAATACTGGGAATCATGACCTAGCCAAGTCGACAGATATTTTTGCAGGACACAATTCAATATATGACATCTAGCTTATCTTGTGTATTGTTAGTTATGGTTTTTATCCTATTAATACCTTGTATTAGGGCCTCTAGCATTGATCCTATTCTATCTTCTATGATCTTTATACTTGTTTCATTTTATATTTGTCCTAGAGAAATAAGAGCTGTCACTCAAATAGATATACACACATCTTTGTACATTGCAGTACTGTTCACAGTAGCAAAAAGATGGAAACAACCTAGATGCCCATCAACAGATGAATGGATAAATGAACTATGGTACATACACACAATGGAATGTTACATAACAATAAAGAACAATGATGAACCTGAGAATTATCTGACAACATAGATGAATCTGGAGGATATTATGCTGAGTGAAACAAGTCAATCAACAAAGGACAAATATTGTGTGAGACCACTAGTATAAAAACTCATGAAAAGGTTTACACACATAAAGAAACAATCTTTGATGGTTATGAGGGAGAAGAGGGGTGGGAAGAGAAAAACACTAACTAGACAATAGATAAAGGGTAACTTTGATGAAGAGTAAGACAGTACACATTTCTGGGGAAGTTAGCAAAACTTGAGCAAGATAAGATCATAGAAGCTTAAAAGACACATCTAAACTCCATGAGGGACTGAATTAATGGCCTGAGGCCTGGGAACCATGATCTAGGGGTACTTCTAGTTCTATTGGCATAATATAGTTTATAAAGTAAATGTTATCCATGTCACTTTGGTGAGTAGCATCTGAGGTCTGAAAAGCTTGTGAGCGACCATCAAAGATACTCCCCTGGTCTCACCCTCTCTGGAACAAGAGAGAATGAAGAAAACATACACAAGAAAAAGATTAGTCCAAAAGACTAAGAGAACTACCACAGCCTCCACCAGACTGATTCAAGCACAGTTGATGGTGCCCGGCTACCACAACTAACTGGTCTGACAGAGATCGCAATAGAGGGTCCCAGACAGGGCTGCAGAAAAATGTTGTACAAAAGTTTAACTCATTAAAAAAAAAATGAGAACACACCAGCCAAGGGGCAAGGACAAGAAGGGCAAGTAACAGGGAACCTAAGTTCAAGAACGGGAGAGTGTTGACATGTTGTGGGGTTGGCAACCAATGACAGAAAAAAAAAAAATGTACACTAATTTTTTAATGAGAAGCTAGTTTGCTCTACAGACCTTCATCTACAGTGTAAGTAATAAATAAAAATAAAAAGAGGAAAAAAATAAAGTACAAAAAGAATTTAAGAAAAAGAAAATGTCACTTACAAATTTTAAGATAAAAAGAACGTAGAATACTGATAGAGTTTCACACTTTTAAAAATCAGGCATCACTCCCACAGCTATTCACAGAAATGTATCCAGACTGGGAAATCATGTGAAATTAAATTAAATGTACAATACATGACTATAAAATAAAGAGTATGCTTTCAAAATAAACACAATTAAGTTGTTTGCAAAGAATACTGAATATACCATGGACTGCCAAAATAAACAACAAAGCTGTCATGGAAGAAGTACAGCTAGAATGCTCCTTATAAGCAAGAATGGCGAGAGTTCGTCTCACGTACTTTGGACATGTTATCAGGAGGGACCAGTCCCTGGAGAAGGACATCATACTCCGTAAGTAGAGGGTCAGCAAAAAAAGAAGAAGACCATCAGTGAGATGGACTGACACAGTGACAGCAACAAGCAGCTCAAGCATAACAACAGCTGTGAGAATGGCATAGGACCAGGCAGTGTTTCATGCTGTTGTACGTAGGGTCACTATGAGTCGGAACTGACTCGACAGCATCTAACAGCAGCAACAAATTTAACTTTACTTAATAAATGTTGAAGCTAGTATTACTCTTAAAGTAAATAGGGTAAGTAGTGATAAATGGAAGAAAATATTTTAAGGAAAATGCACTTTACTTCATCCATTTTATAAAATGACCTAACTCAAACTTATGACCACATCAGCAAATCCATTGACCCAACTCTATATAAAAAATTTCTGGTATACGACTTTAGTGTGTATCTGTCCTCTAAACGGGAAATTTATGTATACTTCCACATAGAATTGATTTGGGCCAAAAAAGATTTCACAAGAGCACAATTTTCATATTTCCTGGGTCAGCACAATCTCATAGAATAGATAGTGGTCCAAGAGTGATAGTCCAAAATCTCCAAGAACTTGAATAAGGACTTTTGGAAAGGGATCTTTTTCATTTGAGATTTCTACCATTCAATAACCTCCCCAACCCTAAATTCTTGTAGAAAAAAATCATTTCTAGAACAAAGATTGAAGCTGAATTTGATATTTTCTTTCGCTGCTTGATATCCTGTAGTCAGACATAAAAAAGATCTTGTAATTTTCACAGTTCAGATGTTTTCTCCAAGTCTAACCAAGTGGCTGAGTCAACTGTGTGAGCCTATAGAAAATACTCCCTGGCTTTGCAATGTTGGACTTCTGACTGGAAAAGAACAGCTAAGGCTATAAATAATTGTTCACTGAGGGGTACAGACTGTCAGTCCCAGGGGACTAAGAGAAAAGGGAGATTCTTGGAGCTATACAATGCAGTTAGCAAGGTTGTTGGTCCCTGTCAAGGGTGACACAGGTCCCTGGTGAGAGAGTATCTTCAAACCCCACATCTAACACTTTCTTGCAGAGAGATATTTAGGCTAGCTGCCGTACTCCTCAACAGTCATTGCTGGTACAGTGGTACAATTCTCGCCTTGCATGGGAAAGACCTGGATTCAAATCCTGGCTGAAACACAGCATGTACAACCACCACCTGTCTGTTATTGAGGGCTTGTGAGTTGCTATGATGCCAAAGATTTCAGTGGAGCTTCCAGTCTAAACATACTAGGAAGTCTTGGTTACCTACTTCCAAAAAACAGGCAACGAAAATCCTATGGATCACAACAGTATGATTGGCAATCAATCAGGGGATGGCAGAGGAGCAGGCAGCTTTGCATCCCATTGTGCATAGGGTTGCCAGGAGTCAGGGGCCTAATAACAGCAGCTACCAACAAAAACAACAACCTCACTTCTCCAAGCCTCCTTGTCCTTGGCTTTATAACAGGAAGGAGAACGGTAGCTCCTTCACAGAGTTGTTGTGAAGATGGCTTATTAGCACAGTGCTGGCCACATAGTTGTCAGCTATTGCTTTAGGCAGGAGGTAGGATTTAACCAAGGTTTTATGATGGGTAGGATCTATATGGGATGAAAAGAGAGAAGGTTCCAGAATTGGGAGCACCATGTAAATAAATACAGAGGTAAAAATGAGATGAAGTGTAGAGAATAACTGCTGAAATTTTCAATCTTTTTGCCAATTGTACTAAGAAGACACAAAACTTACATAATTAATATTTTGTGTATTTAACCAGAGGAAGAATACAGAATGTTCCGTACAACTGAAGGTGATGAGACTTCATTTTGCTTAATGTGTGCATGTCATCAGGACAGATAGATCCCTGGAGAAGAACACTAGGTTTCTTTAAAAAGAGGTTTGGTGATAAAAATGAAGACCCTCAAGGATATAGACTGACACAGTGACTGCAATAATGATTGTGAAGTTGGCACAGGACCAGGTTATGCTTCATTCTGTTATACACAGAGTCACTTTAAGTAGGAACCAGTTCTAGGCACCTAACAACAACAAAAGGGAGAGACCAAGGAATCTGTATATTAAGAAACACTACATGTTTTTTGGGTCATGTAGATCACACTAAGCTTACTTACTAATCATTAACACTCTAGCTATCCCACGAGTCTATGAAAACATATTTTATTATGCTTGTTGGACTCTAACTTTTTTAAGTTTAAGTAACTGAAAAAGAACTTTCACCACTACCATGGAAAACTCAACTCCAGATGTGAAACAACTATGATTTCCTCATTGCTTGTTGTTGTTAGCTGCTGTCCAGTACGTTCATTGTGACCCTACATACAACAAAATGAAACACTGCCCAGTCCTGTGTCATCATCACAATCATTATGCTTGAGCCCAATGTTGCAGACACTGTGTCAATCCATCTTGTTGAGGGTCTTCCTCTTTTTCCCTGACCTTCTACTTTACCAAGCATGATGTGCTTCTCCAGGGACTGATCTCTTCTGATAACATATCCAAAGTATGTGAGACAAAGTCTCACCGTCCTTGCTTATAATGAGCATTCTGGCTGTACTTCTTCAAAGGCAGATTTGTTCCTTCTTCCGGCAGTCCAGGGTATATTCAAAATTTCCAAAACCATAATTCCAAGGCAACAATTCTTCTTTGGTCTTCCTTATTCCTTGTGCAGCTTTCACATGCATATAGGTGATTGAAAACACCATGGCTTGGGTCAGGTACATCTTAGTTTTTAATGTGACATCTTTGTTGTTTAACTCTCTAAAGATATCTTTTGCAGCAGATTTACTCAAAGAAATGCAATGCATGTAAGTAAATAACATTAATGGTGTAACTTCTGGTAAATAAAAGACTATATTTAGGCACACTACCTCACACACAAACCAATCCACTTACATGAAATCACTTTTAAGCTTACTGTAGTATTTCCGACGTTTCAGCATCTTCACAACTTGATCAAAAGCCTCTTTGACTGCTTTTAAACATTCGCTGTTATGAGTGTCCAGAGACCTTTGAACTCCTTCAAAGTACTCTAAGAATATGGAAAAAAATTGACTCATTTACTATGATTTAATTGTAACCATGTATAAGATATAATTCTTTCAAGTGTGCAATTATCTCCATCTTATGACAAAGTTAAGAAACTTCAGAATCAAAGGATTTTGTCAGATTGCCAAGAAAAGTCAATAGCAACCAGAGACTTATAACTATGCTGTGCAAATTCTGTTCTAATAATGAACTAGGACATAGTTTTACCATTTACAAGAGGTAGGGACAGAGATGCCTCAATTTTATACCTTTCAGATTTATTGGATCAGGTAAGATTCAATCAAGCTACAAAAACCCAAACTGTTTACATTTGAAAAGTTCAAATATTAAAGGAAATTTTACAAGGAATGCATCTCTTTTTGGGGGGAGGGAGGGTTGTTTACGATTTGCAAAGAAAAAACTTAAGTAGAAATTTTATATTTTACTCATTTTAATGGGAACATGTATGCAGAAGCCCTAATTGCCAACAAAGACGTTTTATCCACCTGGAGAAATCCTGACACCATTAATTATAAATGTTTTATCACAAAGTCAGGTAGCAGGAAAGAAAATTGAAAGACAACTTCAAAATAGGAAAGTTCTGTTCTTCAAAAAAAGTGCTTTTCCTTTACTTCTTTGGAAATAGCTAAATCATGATTTCTTTCACTGGCAAATCAACAGCTAAGACTTATCACCTCATTTCCACCCATTAAGAAGCTATGGCCAGTTATATAGGTGCAAATATGGATACTAACTACCAGCTGTTGGTAGCATAGGACTCTCTCATGGAACCCTATCATATGGGATGGGAGAAAGACTCAAGTTAAGTTTCATGATGCTATGTTATTGACCCATGCTTGATTAAGCAATCACTAACTTACAGATACTTTTGTCTTTATATATATATATATATATATAATACAGATATGCATATATATACAATAAAAACCAAACCAGTTATGGCCAGATCGATTCCAACTCATGGTGACCTCATGTGTGTCACAATAGAACTGTGCTCCATAGGGTTCTCAATCGCTGATTTTTCAGAAGTAGATCACCAGACCTTTCTTCCAAGGCGCTTCTGGGTGGACTTGAACCTCCAACTTTCAGTTCTCATCCCAGAGTGTTAACTGTTTGTGCCACCCAAGGACTCCCACTTATAGATAGACTCACCATAAAAATTAGCTTTTGCTAGCATCGGTGCACTGCTGCCCACTGCTGCAGCAAACAGGTCAGGGTGTTTTATTCTCGACCACACTGCAAGGGAGCCACCATAAGAGCAACCAAACACAACCCATTTATTTGTGGTGAGCCCCATTGTCTTTGCTGCTTCAGTCTGAAAGTTGACAATGTCAGCCAAGGCTTGCCTGCTGCTGAGGTAGCGGAGACTGGCAGTACTCAGATCTCTGCAATTAAAGCAAAAAACACTCTGTGACAACAAACTAGAATATGTGAGGATTAACATCAGTTTGACTATAAAGTAAAAATGAATATTATGAAAACGTGTTGAGTATTTATATCAGGTCCTATTTGAAATTTTAATTAGCATAAACCTGATTGACAGTGACCCATAAATGCAGGAACAAGCAATAATTGTTAGCATTTGTCTCACTTTAGTTCTTTCATTTCCTCTTGTCACCACTCTGAAGGAGCTTCAAATGCCTGTCCCCACCCATGTGGTGACCTTTCTCCATACACGGAACTGAAGCACAGCTATCACATTATTACCCTGACTCAGAGAGGAGCCCATTTTTGTAATGGCTAAGTTGTAAGTGATTTAATTGTTTGCAAGGCATTAAGAAAACTCATAGTTAATTATGCTGATGTTATTTTCCATACTTTCGCCTTTGCTGCTACATCTAGACAAACTACTATTTGAACCTAAGTTTCTCAGTCATAAGAAAACTAACTAAAATTTTTGAATGATATTTCCTTTATAATCAGGATGCCTATAATCCTGGGATGATTTTAACCCTTATTGCTAAAGGAAAAATTCTCCCTCCCCCTGCATGATGCTATAACTAGCTGATTATGAATTTCAAAGTAGACAAAGAGCATAGAATAGTCACAAAAAGAAACACAAGTAGCCAGAAAATACATGAAAACATTTAGCCCTTTCTCTTATCAAAGCAACACAAATACCAGTGTTTTTCCCCTCCTATCAAACTGGCAAGATTTATTTTAGTACTCTGTGTTGACACAGATGTGATGAAGTAGCCTCTCCTATATCACTTGTGGAAGTATCTGCTAGTAGAATCGTTCAGAAAGCAATTTGTGCTTATATAAAAAGCACTTCAAGAGACAAAATGTATACCTTGGTTCAGCAATTCTTCTACTAAGAAGCCAGAGCAGAACCCACTAATTTTCTCCTTATATCCACTCTCTCTTTTACCTTTAGGTAATCAAAGCTCCTGATTTCATTTGGGCTCATGGCTGCCCAGAATAAACCATACACATATCAGCCCCCCTTCCAGCCAGAAGTAGACTTACTAAGATCGAGCCAATGAGATGTAACTGGAAAACTGTAGGTAAGATTTATTATAGTATCCAATCATAGAATTCACTCTACTTTCTAAGAGAAAACTCTCAGATCCTTATACTTTCCCCCAATTGCTCAAAATCCAAATTTTACTGTAGGTTCTTTCTAATACATTCTTACTGAAATGTACCACATGAAGTTAATTTGGATAGCAAACAAGTTATATGCTATAGTTAATTGCAAAAACAAGTTATTCCATTGTTGAACAGCAATTTACTTCTTTTGAGAGATTAATAAAGAAATCATAGACTTAAAATTATTTTTAGAGTATCATAGCATCATTAACACATACACACACAAATCAAAGTTTCTAATAAAGAAATGTAGAATGGGTAAAAGTATTGGAGTGTCACATTACCAAAAGTTAAGTGACATGCAATTGAAAAATCACATTTGAGAAATCACTGCTAGAAAGAAGCCTGTGAAACCTTCAATAATTATTAGTCTGTCATGTGAAAGGTACCAAGAATTATGACTCATGTAATAAATGTTTCTCTTCACTGACACTACCCACTTTCTCAGTGTTATAAGAAGCAATCCTTACTTCTTATTTTAATGATAATAAACAATTCAGATATTAAATTGGATTTTTTCAGAACTTTTTGAGGCAATTTTTAAACTTCATTCTATTTGTTTGACTTCATACAACGAATAGTTTATAACCTTAAGCAAAAAAGCTAAAATATATTTTTCTCCTGGGAAAAAAATATTAGGTATCAAGAATATAGTATTGAGGCAAAAATAGTTCTCATATTCTTGCTACCTTCTCTGACACTGCAGTCTGTAATTTAATACAATATCTAGTTACCTTTGATTAGTTGCTGTAACAAAATGATTACCAGTTTCCCATGAGCACAGTAATTTTATGGGATACAATCCCATTGGAGTAGAAAAAAAATAGATAAGCCCTTTTTATTAAGCATGTTCAGGAAAACAGAAAGTTAAAACATGAAATTACATTACATAAGGAACATATTTTTTTCAAAGGAAATTTCATACGACTCTTTTTATCAATAACGTTACTGCTAACCCCAACCTCTACGTACATTTACCAATTGCTTTTCTTCTTATCATTTGAATTTTCAAATATTCACCTCCCTTAAAGAACATATTTAGACTTAACATCGCCTAATTAAAAAGAGAGAGACTAGCAACAGCAATGAGAACAACCACTAAAAAGAGACCTTTAAACTTACCCTGCTGGTTGGCTGAGTCCATAAAATCTGTGTTCCAGTAGTAAGCAGAGGGCGCCTAGTCTCTCAGCATACGTAACCCAGGTATTACTCCCTGATAGATGATATATATCGGCTGTTAATGCCCCTTCAATCATCAGAAATATTGGGCCTCCAGGTTTGTAGAAGGCATCATTAAGGAAATATCTCTGTGAAAGTAAAAATATTCTTGTAAGTCACTAATTCACCAGGTCTTGCAATTTGTTTGTGGTTTCTGATAACTGGGTGGCAGCATATTTTGGTTTGTCAGATTTGGGTTATGGTCCTGAGATCCCATCTAAATGAATAACATTGCTCAAGTCACTCTGCCTACACAAGGGACAAATTTATTTTTTGCTTTTGGTGGTAAAACAGACCCTACCCCAAACTGGCAATTTCAACAGTTTTCAAGTGTACAATCCAGTGGTGTAAATGGCACTCACAATATGTAACCTTCACTACTATTTGTTTACATTTCATGCTAATATTTGAAATTCTAATTTAGAATGTGAGATTCTTTTTTGATTTTATACTTGTAGCTATATTCTTTTACTCTGAAAGTTTCAGCTCCTATCAACATTAACATAATTATTTGCTTTATTCAAATAGTATACAGTAATACACACACATTAGAATAACAATACCAATATTAAAAGAAACCCTGATGTTACCATGGTTAAGTGCTCTTCTGCTAAATGAAAGATCAATGGTTCAAACCAACTGACTCTGGGGATTAATGGAAGCAAACTGCCACATCTTTTTCCCATGGAGTGCCTTCTGCATTAGAACCACTGACCTTTCGGTTAGAAGCCTAGCATTAAATACTGCACCACCAGGGCTCCTTCTCATAAATATTACAGCCTAGGAAACACTGAAGGGCAGTTCTACTTTGTCCTTTATGGTTGCTATGAGTTGGAATCAACATGATGGCATAGAGAAACAACCACAATATTAAGAGAGAGAATATGAGTGGCTTCAGTTCTGAGTTAGAAAGGGAAGCCAAGGTAGAAAGGCGGAGAGTGCTAACACATTGTGGGATTTGAAACTAATGTCACAGAATATGTTGTGCACAATTTTTTGAATGAGAAACTAACTTGCTGTGCAAAACACAATACAAAAAAAAAAGACTGATAGTATGATTATTGAAAACCGATTTCATCCTTAGGATTTATTCCTCAAAAGATATAAAGTCAGCAGGGCAGAGCACACATGGTGCTATAGACAGAAGCACCATATCCTCCCTCTACAGCAAAGGCCCAAAAAACAAAGTAAAACAGAGACAAATATCAATCCTGAAACCTTAAGTGTCAAATGAAGGGATAAAGAACTCAAACAAGCGTGAATGGAATAAGTATCTAATAGAGAATGAGGAGAGCTACGGGGCAGAGGTCCCATAACAGGTAATGCAGCATGGACTCTCCGTCTTAGACCCCTCAATATTCTGTCTACAAAGACACACCTTGGAAACAAAGACATAAAATTACTAAAAATCAAAGAATGGAAATAAATATATCAAGCATACAGGTACCAAAAAAGAGCAGGAGTGGCAATACTAATCTCAGATAAAACAGACTTTAAAACAAAATTCACCATAAAATACAAAGGACATTATTCAATGACTTAAGGGACAATCCACCATGAAAACATAACCATAATAAATATCTACACACCCAATGACAGGGCTCCAAAATACATCAAACAAACTCCAAAAGCACTGAAATGAGAAACTGACGTCTCCACAATAATAGTAGGTGACTTCAACACACCACTTTTGGTAAAGAATAGAACATCTAGAAAGCAACTCAGGAAAATTCTGAAGATTTAAGGGCAAAAACAAACAACTTGATCTCATAGACATACATAGAACACTTGATCCACAGCTGCAAAGTACACATTCTTTTCCAACTCACATGGAACATTTTCCAGAATAGACCAAATCTTAGGCCACAAAGGAACCCTCAACAAAATCCAAAACATTGAGGTAATACAAAGTATCAACTCTGATCACAACACAATAAAAGTAGAAATTAATAACAGGAAGATAACAAACCAAACCCACTGCTGTCGAGTCAATTTTGACTCATAGTGTTCATATGAGTCAGAGTAGAACTGCCCATAGGGTTTACAAGGAACATATGGTAGATTCAAACTGTTGATCTTTTGGTTGGCAGCTAAGCTCTTAACCACTGTGGCACCAGGACTGCAATAACAGGAAGAGCATTAAAAAAAAGCAAATAACATATGGAAACTGAATAACACCCTGCTTAAAAAACACTGAGTAATGGAATAAATGAAAGTTGGAATCAAAAAATTCATAGAATTAAATGAGAATGAAAACACATCATATCAAAACCTTTGGGAAACAGCAAAGGCAGAACTCAGAGGTCAATTTGTAGCTATAGAGTTATCAAAAAAAAGGAAGGAACAAAATCAGACGTTAGCTATACAGCTGGAACAAATAGAAAGAGAACAGTAATAGAAGCCCACATCCATCAGAAAAGGAAATAATAAAGAGCAAAGCAAAAATAAGTGAAATACTGAACAGAAAAATAATAGTAGAATCAACAAAACCAAAAGGTCTTTTTTTTTTGAAAGAATCAAAAAAATTGACAAAGCATTGGTCAAACTGACAAAAAAAAAAAAAAAAAAAAAAAGGAGGCAAATAACCCAAATAATAAATGAAATGA